CTCTTTACCGTTCGTGTAAGTGCATATCGCATTACCTCTTCATATTTTCGTTTGTTTTACGAAAAAAATATACACAAAAACCACTACCATCTATGCGATCTACCTCAATCAAGTAATCCACTGTACTGCCATCATCCATACTTGGCATTTCTATAAAATGTATTCGACAGATCTTGTCCTCAATGAATACAGATGATCGAGCGCCTTTGACGCATGCCTACGACGAGTACTTTGTTCAAACTTTTCATTCCTTGCATGTCGTGTGCGATTATTCGCGGGGAGAAGCACGGTAATTATTGCAATTCATATAAAGACGACGGAGACTGGCAAATCCGATTTGTGGTCTTCCAATCAGTAGACGCCACAATCGCGTATTAAAGATGCCCTCGACAGAACGCTATCCCCATTAAGAGCGAGCCGTCAGAACGAACTATCTAAATTTTTCGGTGATTCAGACAAGGGTGAACAATCGACTGAGCACGATAGACTTACCACGAAACCAGCTTTATAAACACACAATAAATAGAGAAATATAATGAAAAGAGAATGGGGTGTAGTTGTGTCAAACTGGGTATCCTGTCTCAGAGGATACTCGAGGAATCCGACAAAGTATGAACGATGAGGACAGAGATCCGTCGTAAAATTGTTAGGTTGAATCTCGGCGAAGACGGAGGCAGTAGTAGTCGGTGATGCGTTTTACTCCGCTCGGTAACGGTAGTTCGTTTTGGAATTATGGGTAGCTGTCCTTATCGGAAGCGTTTCGATTTTTTTTTTACTGAATAATTGTTAGTTGAAATACCATATTGAACAAATGAAAAAAAAACAGTAGAGTCTCAGTGCTTGCAATGTACGTAGCGATACGTGTGTATAGCGTACATGATGGCGCTCGTAGGGAGACACGACGTCTACAAATTTGATGAGTGGCGTGCTAATGTCACACATCATAGATGCGTATGTTCGGAGCTACACAACTCCATGTATAACAACAGAATCTGTGAGTGAGACGTTCAAACAGATAAAAGATACAAAGCACAAAAAGTGGCTTCAGAAGGCTTTTACAACACCGAGCTTTTCGTCATCATAAAGATCCAAAGAAAGTCAAATTTCAAAGACGAATCAATGATTTTCTATTCTAGACTATTTTGCGGAAATCGATTCATGTGATCCTGCAACCAAAACAATAAACCAGAAACGCTACTAAACACTACACTAAAGCTCGAGGCATTGTATTGAAGTTTTCTACTTCCTAATGATACGGACGTAAAAGTTCAAGCTACCTAAACTAGTAAAGCTTGTAACTATTGTGTAAGTTCATTCACTTCAACTTATGCAGATCCACAAGTGCTTGTTTATAAAGGACAACTTAGTCGTAAATAATTTAATTTTTATCCACCGGATATTTAATTAAGCGTTTTTATTTTTGTGATGTTTTTCATCTCTACTGTCTCTAATTAGCTTTCCCGCATTTGTCTGTTTTACTCTACGTTTAGTCTAGGCTATCCATGTACTGAAGGACGTTGTCTGTACGTTCAGCCCAGAACCATTTCTCTCGAGGCTGTTCTATGGAACGGCTGAAACGGAACAACCCATAACGACTGTGGCCTTCTTCTGTCTCGAGGCTTCCACTAGAAAAAGTGGACCGTTGGACCATTTTTCACATGCGGCATTGCCAGCGTACTATGACTGTAGACAGATGACCACGTCACAGCTATCACCATTTTACAGGTCACCAACGTGAGAGATCGGTGTATTAGCACAGAAAGCTGGCTTCTGTATTGACATACCTCCCTGCAGAATCATGCGTACCGCCTCATTCAACAAAGCGCATTTCGCCCCCGTCAGCCACATTATGTTTTTAGGCAACAGACAGGGCGATCAGTCATAAGTAGGCAGGTTTATGGGCACAAGAAGACGTTGTGCTCAACCAAACTCATAACGTTGATGTCAAGCTCTGCAACATATTGTAGGTGATTCGTCTGTAAAAGCTGAAGTAAGGTCTTCATTTGTACGCATGGAAGAATTAGAGCTAACAACGATGACTAGCACTGTTACATTTGAAACCTTGAGTAATTCTATTATATCGTGCATTTATACCGGGCCAGGCCAGTCCCTTAATTCTGTGAAACTGACTTAACAGCACTCTCCGCAGATCCGCTGATCTTCGCCAGTGCCTGCTGTACTCGAATGATGTGACTCACCAATAAAGAAGATAGCCCAACGAAGTTGCCAATTTTACCGAAGTTCGATAGCAATCGATAGAACAATAGAGACAACAGAAGACAGTGAGAAATCTTACCGCTTAATAGAACTAAGCATGCATGCTTCTACTCCAGACATATGATGAGAATACCTGTTTAACCTTTGGCAGCCTTCGGTTAGCTTGTTATGATAGGAGGGCAACGAAATGTAGACGGTGTTCTGTTGATCAGTTGTTGTCATCGTGATTCTGATTGAATACATTTTGTCGCTGTATATAATCGTATCGCTATTTAAACATCTATCGCACGGACGAGTCGTACTAGTGCCAACTGCATTTCGCTCTGTTTGTAGATAGGGGAGGTTCTGACCGTATGACTTTTCTGTATAATACATCTCTTATTCTGTTAACTAAATATATATATATATAGATATAGATATATATTATGTATTTTCGACGAGACTTTTACTGGAGTGGAGTTATTGTCTGTTCGTATAGCGCTTAGTACACCCGTATCGAAGGTTACGCGTTAATCCCCAATCACTTCTGGCAGTGCAAATAAACTATAGAGACGGTGACGGACCGGCAACTATTTCAGTGATAGTATTTGAATAGAAGGGCGGCAAGGCGTCATTTGCTATAAAGCGTTACTTACTACGGAAACGCCTTGCACAAAGATAGAACCGCTAAATTCCTTATGAAGTAAACGCATTATAGCATCAGAAGCGTCTTAATCAGAACTTTGAAAACGGGATCGGATTAAAAGATATGTTCGAGACGGCGCGGCTTCCCTGTGAGCACGCATTCCCGCATGATCATGATTAAAAGAGGCAATCCATAAACATTCATACGTATGATACCCTATATCACAACGTCTACCGATATAGCAGATACTAGTCAGCCAACCAGCTAAGCCTAACTAGAACTCTGATACATCGCGCACTGTCGATTAAGCTACATCTATTACGACCCAATGCCGTAAATCTTTTACAGCTTTTCATTACAGTATTAAAAACAATTATTATTGTTGTTTTTTTTTTTTTGCAAAATAATCAGGCTCTTAGTCGGCCGCTAGAAGTATACTGTTGTTTCGATAGCAGTTTTTCCACTTGTGGCTGTCAAGCAATTTCAATACTCGTGGAAGCATTATTCATTCAGATATCTGCCACAGTTACAGCTGGGCCGTGTTGTATTTTTAGGCCCTCACTGACATAAAGAGAATAACCATTTACATTGTAAATTACTCTGATTACATGTTTGGAGCCAAATGCTCTAAAAGAATATACCCGCTGATTTCGTTTGATAAACAAACTGGACACCAGCTTAATTGATGAACAGGGATAAAGGCCTCCTCATTAGAACTGAGACGTTATTGGGCAATAGCATTACCACCCGTACAGGATTGCTTCCATACCTCTTCTGTTTTCTCCGCAGAGTCTACCGCACACAATAAAAATACCCCTAATTTCATACGCTTGTCTAGTATAGCCCTGACATATGACCCCCCATTGCGACAAATGTTGTTCGGTCTCTCTTCAATCAAAGATCAATTGGGCGCCATTTTGTTTTTGCTTAATACGCAATGTCATTGCGATTATTTATGAGTTCTTATTGTTCATATGAAGCTGAGCGTTTGACAGAAGCTATCTGTTCTGTCGATTGCTGCGGTCCTGGCAAAGTATTCTGAATCTTGCGTAGACATTGTTGTATTCACGAAGCTTTGAAGCTATGATGAGTAACTCTCCTTTTGGCATAATCTTTCGAATGTGTGTATATTATCGTCAATTTTATAATCTGATGTCGTTCTCTAGTGAGCACCGCAACACGGCAAAATGCACTCGAAAAATCTTGCGCGCATCTCTAAAATCCGAAGGCTATCTAATAGATGCTTTTTACGTATTATTAAAATGTTATTACGTATGTATATTACGTATTTTTAAAATGTAGGACCAGACTTTCTGCTCTCACCACCAGCATCACAAACTGGAAGGCATTGTAAAGCTTGTTATTAATTTTTCAATGAAAACACGACATATATATATATATATATATATATATATATATATATATATATATATATATATATATATATGGATAGTAAATGTAAAAACCTGCTCGTATTGTTGTTATCACTTTTGTTCTTCTAGACGTCAACTATATATAGCTCGTAAAAGCCAACGCGCTTAGGCATATTCGCAGAGATGAATCCAACAAGAGGACTAGCTGTCGAATAAGAAAAACAATCAGGACGTCTCCTAAAGGGGAAAAAACGCACACATTTCTTACGTACATTTAAAGTTTAAATTAACTATTATAGACCTAGGTAATGTTGATGTATGTTGCCTTCCCTTCAGTTTCCAATGACAATAAACCAATTAGATTGTCCTAAGCGATCTGCGCGTCCATAAAAGTATCAACAAAACTGTATTTCTCTCCAGCCGGTTTACAGGCCCTGCACAATGATCTGCCAGCCAACATTCTCTTCACGATGCATAACGATCTATTATCTAATACAATAACGTTATTTGAATCTTGTCGCAGTGAGATAATTGTGCCCGCATCGGTGATGTCAGTCCTACGGCATCTCGTCTTCTATGAGCCGTCATTTCGATTCCTTGCTACTTCTATCTATATTCCGATCCATATTAGTAACTGGAAGCTTATCTACGTAGTCTAGTCACTTTGACTATATAGTCTCCTACTTTGCTTTAGTTCGCTGCACTTAGGCATGCTTTACCTACCGGTTTTACCTTGAATGCCCTCCCTTCCAACCAGCTAATCTCGCTTGACCCTTGTCACTCACCTGCATTAAACGTATCCAATGCCAACAACGTAGCTATCCTCTATTAACAGTTCCAATTAACGAAGAGATTTATCTAAGCGAACTGTGTTTCTCTATCAGTAGATCTTGACTCTATGCACTAAATTTTGACACTTTTCTCGAACCACATATCGTCGCATCAGTATTGCTGTCGATACGAAAAGACAATTAGATGTTCTTCGCGTTATCTATTCCGAGTTAGCATATTTTCCCTTTTAACTGCGAAATGGCACACACGCACAAATTTATATCTTGATTTCTAATTCAGATCAGCTAGCCGAAGTGAGACTGCAACACATCCCAATGTAACAAGCGTCGTCGAAGTGACCAGTGACTCTAGGTTGCTGTTGGCGTCGCGGCCGCTATTTGGCCTTCCCCACGTAAGGCTTGCCAGCAGGCCACCGCCTGCCCCTTTCTCCTTCTTAATGCAGCAGGCCACCGCCGCGCTGCCGAAATAACGCTTTGCATGAATAGGCTTTTTCTACTCCCTATCAGCCTTTCCGATCGAATCTACTGAACAGAACTAATTGTCGGCCTCCCAGCCCGGTTAGATATCTGGCCGCCAATGCTGTCGGCGACACTCATTCTTTCTGCATCTTCCCTGTTTCCGTAAGCCGTACCAATTTGGCAGGTAGCTGGCGTGCCGATCGTAACTCTCAGGTTTCAACGGTATTATAGTAATAGACATGTACTACTACTATGCTAACACGGTTCGATAACTGGGATCCTGCTTTCTCTGTATGTAAACTTGCGACTGAGTCCTGCCTCGGTACCGCACGAGTGCGCGCCACGTGAGTTTGAGAAAGGGCTGCTCCGACATCGACGTGGGAAGGGTTTTTCCTGAGTAATAGAGCAAAATAATTGCTGCTACTACCCAGTTACAGCTGCTCATTGCCATTGATCAGATCTAAAGAGCGCAAACGACTTAAGGGCGTAGGCATATAATCTAGAAGGCCAGCAAAGTCTGAAACTTGATGAGAGCATACAATAGATGGTAGAAGAGTATTGTCCGTTAATGATGCTTTGTCGGTGTTTAAGAACGCACCTTATGTCACTACTAATTATGGCGCTGGCCGGTCAGGACCCTCGTCCTTAATAGGTATCGCCGCCTCTGGAAGGATTAAAGCTATAGGTGATTAAATCGGTCAGCTAAATGCGCTTCGGGAGAAGGCTTGCTACTGGCAGCAGTGCAACATGCTAACCAATGATGTCTCCGGGACGTATTTGTATGACAATCTTTGGGATACGTTGCGGTCCAGGTTCCAACCCGGGGATAAATAGACAGTCGGACTTCGTTTCGTGCTGGGAGCCAACTGTCTGATAGAATACTTAACAACGATACCGAATGTAAAACTCGAAATGTAGAGGCTGATCAGGGCTAAGGTATAGCGGACCACGGGATCGTTTTCGCACTTGTCGAGGAGGTAAGCAAGGCCATGCGGCTTTACGGAGAATAGACGAACGACCGAAAGGATATCGGGCGATTGATACAGACGACGGTTTAACAGCGTACTTTCACTTACTAACGGTACAGTAGTTCCAAGAAACTCGTGCGTGCGCATGAATCCATCAGACATAGTTCGGAACGTCCGATATAGTTAGGAAGTGCAACACTGCACCAGCAGACGTTAAACCTGAAACAAACTAGCATATAGCCGAAAGTTTGCCAAGTATACAATGTAATATAAATATTCATTAATAAAAACATGATAACATGGAAACTAAACAAATACCGTAAAATAAAAGGAAGATATATTCAAATATAGGTTTCTGGTTGGGTATCTCTTAATCGTATGGTCACTACTAAATGTTGTCTTGAGAGAAGATCAATACGAATGAAGCTTTAGTTGGAGCAGCTACGTTAGCTTGACAGTTTGTTTTGAGTCACTCACTGGCTAATTTTAGTCGAGATCTGTTTTAAAAAATTGGCAAGTTAAGTTCTTGTTGTATGATAATCGTGAAACCTGTTAGCATTTCATGCTTCGTAATGAAAGAGAACATAGGCACCAGAGTGCTACGTTGACTAAGTCTAAGATCAAGTTCCGCTATGCTGTCCAGAATAAAGGTGAATTAGTATCCAAGTTTTTTGTAAACTTCAATTCCTGCTAGAAACAGTAAGGCTTTGATTTTATTAAGCGTTTACCTGTCTTAGGGTATTAAGCCTCAGCACTAAAGGCAGAAACCAGCCATATAATATTTGTAAAAGTGTGGTGAAAGCATGTAGTTTTAGATAGAGAAACATTTTGCAAGAATCGACGATTATGTGATATAGTCTGTCTACGGGCAGAACTCCTGTATGTTGGATTTTGACATTCATAAACATGAGAAACTGACATTCATATATAATGTATTAGTGAAGTTCGATGGCTTAAGCTGTGGAAGGTAAAGTTTTCCACGATACTTAGCCTTTAAGTTGAATAATGTCTTTTCTTCGATAAATATATCTTAAAAGTAAAACATACCTTCCAGGTTCTTCGTCAATAAAATTTCTTGATCGCGTATGTCTGCGCTATATGAAATCCTCTATTATAGAGACACCTCTGCTTTCAATATGAATAGAATGGACACATTTGTAAAAATTGTTTCATGTGCTTAGACGTAGATTTGTCAAAATTTTATTGGATTATAGCCAGGTTTATATTTTAGGTGACTGGCCGGCTCCCACGCGTCTGCACCCGCAAGAAGTATACTTAAAGCGAATATCTCAAATAGTTAAATATTGCTAACGTAATGAAAAGTAAATCAGGTGCAAATAGGCCTCAACGCAACTGACGGCTGAAAGGGTCATCAACATGAGAATTCAGCCCCGAAAGATCGAGGTCGAATTTGTTGTTTATTTTCATTGAACATAGTTATTCTCTCTTTAAATAAGGTACCCGTCCCTCTGCACTGAAGCAGTATACCAGCCTCCTAGAATAACAAATAGCTACACATATAGAAGCACCCGCAGAACGCCACTATTCCAAGTTAGTCGTGTGATCGTTAACGTAGTTAGACGCTTTCCCTGTTCCATCTTTTTAGCTATCTCTACAGCGGCAAAAGTTAGTTATACACACGGCCATGCACCCTACTACATAAGATATATCCAAATGAATAGCCAAATTCACCAGTATAGGGTGGCTGTTCATCTTCCAACAAGTAAAAGGCCGAATTTCAATCACCTGTACGACGTTAACGGCCATTGTTACGGCTGCATGCGAGCGGAATAATACTAGCCTCGCTGCTAGCAATCGTTAGCAGCATTCACAGAACAAATCAGCCGTTGTCTACTCCCTCTCTGCCTCTCCCTCTTGCAGACTTTCATTCGCTGTCGTGCTCACGCGTCATTGCTATCTATTTATCATCTATCGCGTTTGTTTCAATTCTGTTTCCTTGACGAGGTCCATAGCCTTGGGGACTGCTTGGACAACTCTTCCGAAGCTCGTGCAAATCATGACGCTGCGCAGTACTGGCTAGAGCGCGAAATGTTGAACTCCCGACATGGCCTATCGAGTTTTGGCCGACCTTTATGCTGCTGCGATTGCTGCGGAAGCAATATAGTAGCAACGTGGAACTCGGCAAAGACTCGATAGGTGGTCGCAGGAAGTCGACATGGGGACGCGGACATTGTTATTACGACTGGTGATGTTGCACAAAGTCAGGTTCTCACTGTCTAAAACGGAAACGTCATGAAGGAGATGGAAGCGGCATGTTATTGGACACAGGACTGCCGGCAATAATTCGGACGATATCGTCCTCGTTGAGACTTTTTTTTATTGTTTTTTGCTTCTGCGATATGTACTCTGTACAGCAGAATATATTATAACAGCCAAACCACCGCAGTGGTTCCAATCAACGAAATGTACGTAGATGAAATGGTTCGTTTTTACTAAACTTCACTTATTGGTACTTTACGTTTGTATTCTCAAAAAGCCAAAAAAGACCTTAATCACGAAAGAAAAATGGGTATATGCGTATCACAAGTGCCAGGTCTCTAACTTGAGTAGTAGCTGGAAGTGTTTATCCGTTAGCTTATCAGCTAAACCGATCCCATAATTTACTGGAAAGCTGTTACAATAAAAGTAATAAGACAATTTCATTCAGGACTCAACGTGCCTTCTTTGAAAAAATGTATCTCGTCCGAATGTCTATCCTGCCGTGTCAGCTATAATGAGACCTGCCAATATACACATTCAGCCGAAAGGCAAGGGTACTGCTCTCGAATACGTATACAAAACTGCGCATGAAAGCTACTACTGAGTTACTTTTCTGTTGGTAGACTACCTGAAGTCGATGGCGTCGCTGCTGTGCAGTAAGTCGACCTTTTTTGTCTTCAGCCCTGCTACTGCTCTAAATATGGCGCGAATTCTGCTCCGTTGTTCAGCTCGTGGCACATTTCCTTGAAGCGGAGCGTTTCGAAAGGTTTTCTCTCCGGACATCTTCTTATAATCGGTCTTGCCGCTGCACCTATTTGATGTCAGATTCAAATTTTAAAGCTTCCCGGAGAAATCATATTTATCTTCTTAACGTCCTTGTTTACGCGCTGCCAATCTTCCCAACTTAGGATTTCTATTTTATATTAAGTGGGCGGGATCGTTTCCACGAATTCATCGATGTCTAACAAAAAAGAGATATAGAAGATAGGGGCTGAGAAACATTTGGCAGTCGTAAAACGCTCAATGCGCCATCACCAACAGGAGTCGCCTTTAAGTGTTGAAGCTAAGATTTGTAATATTCGTTGGCCTTCATAGCACGAAGTTGGTGTTTGAGGAACAATAACGTTTAGACACCAGCGTTGATACAATATATATATATATATATATATATATATATTCTATTAGTAATTGTTCTATTTGGCGTACGATTCCACGTAATACGACAGTGTCTGCCCGTTTTTTCGTCACGACCTGAACCGCTCCGTCCGCAAACCTTTTTCGAGCATCGTGAATAATGTAAATATTGAGAATGCCTTTCAAAATCAAATTTGTGCGCAATAACTTACTCAGCAACATTCGATCGTAGCATCTGTTTCGCTGTCGAGAAGTCACGGCTTATTCGCATGCCTACCTTCACTTTTAGTTCTTCGTTGATATCAATCATTTTAGCGAATTCAACCGGTCACCCTCTAGAGAGCTTTTCATTTTAGCCGTCACGTTAAGAAACAACAAATCTGTTACGTGAAATTTGTTCCCTAGGCTGTGGCCTAATTTGGCATGTCAGTTGACGAAATTCGGACCTCTACTACTACTGCTAACTTTCTCCGCCTTAGGAGGGCCCCTAGAGTCCTTTGCCCTGCCGTCGTCGTCGTTCTAAATAATAGGAACAGTAACAAGATATCAGAAAATGGAGAGATGAAACTCGTGTCTGCGAAACCGTTGTCAACGGTCCCTTAGTTACTTTTTGGTTCCGCAGATGGCTAAGCAAAAATGGACTTGGTACCGCCCATTGAATTTAGATCTATGATCGATCAATTGTTAGACCTGTGTTTGTATGTGAACATTAGAGAATCCAGCTTCCTGTGTAACAACAAAAACATCAATAGAAGCAACACAGTAATCAAATAGCTATAGATAAATAAACCGGCCAATGTATTCCTTTCGAACAGACACAATAGCATAAGCTAATTCAAAGAAACCTCAGAAAGACGTATACATTTTTGCAT